TATATATATATATATATATATATATATATATTGAACTCGTTGGTCAGACGCCAAATACGTCTTCCCTGTCGGTGATGAAACTTCTTCGCACCATTTGCCAGGCTTGATGAACAGATAGATAGCCATCTGGTCAACGACCAAGAAACTCACGCGAGCTATCTACAATCGAAATGTTTTCAATTCGTTGAGTTGAAGAAACTCAGCCATCTCATCTCTCAGCAATGGGTCTATCATTTATGGATGTGTTCGTCTACCTCATTAAAACCAAATTCACTAGTCCGGATAGCGCAGGATGTCTGTAGTGTATCGTGACACGAGCTTCCTCCCGTTTATGATCTAGTTTGATCAACGATTTAGCCTACACCAGGGACAGGATGTCCGTTTCTGAATTATATTGCTCATTGAAAACCTAGTCTAAATGCCGCGAGGATCACATCTGAGACGATGTAGACGAGTTGTCCTGTGATGGGCATTACCATGGCCACATAGGTAGTGTCTAAGGAATGCGAGGTACATAAATAAACACGCCTAATTCACTGAACCGTCAATTGTATGACCCGGACGGAAGACAACAAGTGTCCAGCAGGTCCATTCCCAGGAAAGTCATTTGTTGGTTAGTCATTGCGGATTGTCTAGAGTTTAAAAACTTCTAAACACTTTCATGTGTCGTGACATTTTAACAAGTGAATTGATTAACTCTGTTTTCCCAGTCCTTTCTAGCTACGTGATATAAAAGTCAATCACTTCCAGTGTTTCGGAACGCCGGTAACTCAAGTGCGTTTATTCATACCGACCCGGCGTTTTTTTATCTGTTCGGTGAGATTTGCGACCGAGTTGCAAATGTTTCGCCATCAAACGAGAACATATCACCAGTACATCCAACTGCGCAATTTCGATATCCCAACGTTTGGTGACGACAGATTTGCAAGCCAAAAGTCAAGCTTAGAGAAGAGACTAACGGCCACTTGACCAACAACCAATCAATCACGTCAACCCATAGAGAAAGGCTTGATGCCTATTACGCGGATTCGCGATGTAAATTTAAATGAAAAACTGACTCGAGTTACCATAGAAAAATTTCTACTTTACTCGCACAGGATATGTCTAAAGTACACGCAGGTGACTGCAATAGTGTCATTCGAATTGAGGCATGGAGATACTTTTACCATGTCCGATTAGGTAATCCACCTATTGGTGACACTTTTTGGCACCATTGGGTTGGGGGTCCTCGAGGAAAGTTTATTGCAAATAAGTTGCTTTCAAAACCTTATTCTTCAAACTGGAAACCGTATAAAGCGGAATTAAAGGGTAACAAATAAGAGAATAGTAGCCTAGTGAGCTCATAACAAACAAATAATATTCTGCTTTGTAAAATAAGCTTCAAATTTGAACATCCTATATCGGGTTGGATGTTTTTGTCCGAATTACGAGTGCATTGAAAAGACTGCAAAAGCCCGTTCTGTTCGTGCCAAACTTCAAGATGACACTGCCAGAGAGCATTTTTGCGTTGGAATGAAGATTGCAATGTGTTGATTATTACATTTGCACTGTTCATTGCACACTAAAGCGCAACAAGGTAACAATGTTCAAAATCACTTCAACTGCTTTCGTCGGTCAGCATGGACTAATCTTTTGGAAGTCTCTCTTGCGAACGTAAATAAATAGGAGATGGTTTGTGCCAAACACAATTCAGACTGTTCAGAGTTTATGGATTCTATGCAGAGTTCACGCGCAAATCCACTTTGTCTGCTGTGTCCTGTGACAGCATCACTGTATCCCTAGAATGCAAACAAAAACAGAATGGTGATTAGAATCCATTCAGCTGGACTATATTTTCATGATCACATGTATACTGCACCCGTATCGAGTCTTCTGAAGTGTTCCACGACAGGTATGTGAATCTAAAGAAAAGTGGAACGAACAAAAATAAATTAAACTTAATTGCAGTCTTAGTAATGCGACCTTATAGTCCCGTCAGGATACACAACACCTTTGTGCAACGTTCGACTTGACGTGACTCTGGTTCTAATCAGAAGTCATTCAGTTGGATCGTTACTCTTCCGTTTACGGTACTCTAGCTGTGGAAAGGTCAAGCCGCATTAGAAGGGAACAAATAGTTTGCACATCTACATGGTTGCAATAGAGCGTGACTCTTTATAGGGACAGTCATTATTAAAATGGACGCTACAAAACCCCAAACTCCTTCCATCATTACTCTCTAGCCGTCTCTCTAACCTTCGGCCAACAAGTTTGTGACTTTCAGGCTTCCAGCATCTCCGCGATCCATTTGCAAAACTGCTTGTCTTTCCATTCATTACACGATTGTACGTTTATTGGCCAAAGTTATACAGCACTGGACAGACGCTGGCACCACAGTAAAACTCATTTTTAGTCAACAGATTTATGGGTTTTCCGCGGTGCTAACAATGTTGACTTGCGACAGTGAATACTGTGTCACAAACTTTCAGCATTCAAGTGAAATTTGGAACGGCAGCTGAAGATCCCGCAGACGACTCGTTCTGCTTTCTCAATATGACAGTTTGTCATAATTCGTCATTCGCAACTCGTACCCACCTTCCTACTCTATACATTCCAATTGTGGCGTCAGCAACCATGACCTCATTGCCAAGTAATTTTCTGTGTGCTGTGGGATGGGCCCCGCGAAATGCAGTAGCGACCAAATTCTAACCACTTCACCCTTTCAAACTTGACGGTTGAAGGAATGAAGCCTTGAAAATGTGATGCTAGATAGGTAGGTTAACAGTTAATTAGCGAGTGAATCTTGAACTCGAGAACTCCTGTTTTCCACTGAGAAATTATCCGACATGCTTCAACATAGCTTCAACAGTGTATGTGTAGACGAACATCTTCACACTACAAAATTCGAATACATTCCGTTTACCGCGGAGTGAGCGCAAATTTTGAAGGAGGGACTAGATCTCCAATTTTATTGGATAACTAATGGGAGACAGTGGATTCCAGTTGTAATGAAAAGTGAACTAGGGGAGATTTGTCAACCGAAGATGACTTATGGGATTTCAACTGTTTACTCCATACATGTCATAATTTGGTTACAGTAGACTGGAAAGTTATCATCGCTTTCCATAATTGAACCATTGGATAACCTCTGTCCATCATTTTTTAGGAACACCTAGAAGAATTGATACGACTTCATGGCAAAGAATCGAGCAACGCCAGTAGAACGTTACAGTTTGCTTTCAATCGGTGGCCACACACTACACTGTAAATTCGGTTGAGAAAGGTCATCAGTGATAGATTTATTTGAATTCCATATGGTTTTAAATGAATCACCTGTGCTTTGTGGAATTTCAGTGACTGAATAACTGACAAACGCTGAGTTGTGGGTGCGGTTAGTATCAATTAGGGCAGTGCATTTTCATAAAGGAAACAACTCACAAGATTGCTGAAAAATCTTCGAAAGCCAACGTCTGGTTTTGCCATTCTTGGGACCAAGTGAAACAAGAGTCAGCATTTGTACAGCACATTCAGTTAAAGAATATCATAAACGAGAGATTCATTTGAGTCTAACCACTATTGTGAAAGTGGTGATTCTGAGTAGGAAACTTCTTTAACCTGAAACACAGTTGCTTGACATTTTTGGTTGATCCGGATCTTGTCCATCTCTTCCGAGGAGAAGTTCCACATCCACAGGGTCTCCAATCTCAGGCTTACATGGGTGAAAATCAAAGCATAATCACTCGAATTTATGTAGGGGAATAATGACTGGTCGTTACATGCGCCACATCGCACAACACAGCACGCGTCAAGTTAACAAACTTATTGAGAACAAACGTTTGTGTAAGGGAATGTCCAGTCGGATTTCTGAGTTCTGAAGTGACTATTTGTAAAGATCCAGGAGTCGGAAACAAACAAAACAACCTATCACACAGTGGTGAGTTGGCAAATTGCGGCCTCTTCCTCCAAAACGGACGTCTTTTGTGAAAATAACGGTATCCGTAACGCAATGGTTTGAGCAACCACCAGCTCGCAAACGCCTTTTTACTTGAAATTTCAATGCACACTAAAGAAGTGGAAAATCTGAACGTTGATACTACTGACGGGGAAGACATGCGAGTAGTATGTTTTCTTCTCGTAAATTCACTTTGCGTCTCTTGAAAAGGAAGACCTGTTGCGGAATTGGTGAAGTTGCTTTGTAGCATTTGCTTGGGTTTGAGCAACAGTCAATGAATATCCAGGAAATTTCAGGAAGACGCGTCCAAGAGAAGATGGATGTTCAGTTTTTGTAAACAAGATGCATATGAGAGATTTGCTTCTGTGTCCAATATTCTGTAACTGTTCAGTTGGCATTTTCTGATAAATAACTCCGCAGTAAAGGCCTTCTCCTTCTCAATGGTATCAGGAACGCAATGGTCTGAGCAACCACTAGCTCGCAAAAGCCTTTTCACTTGGAAGTTCAATGAATACCCAACACGTGGAAAATTTGAAAGTATAGGGCATGGAACAATGTGGGTAATTGCGATTTGAGCTTTTACGTGACAAGACAGAAACCAGCGGTGCAAAACACCGCGCATCTTGGAATATTTCTTTTGAAAAGACATAAATGGACTGGGGTGAAGTAGAGACAGGGGAGAAACCCACTGATAATCTACTCCGCATGATGGTGGATGCTAATTGTGGGAAATATATGTTTGGCCTAACACAAAGATTACTTTTATCAATAAAAAGCGTGGCAAGTGAAAGAAAACATGGATCTATTGCAACCAAACACAAAATGAAGAAATTGCTCGGTATAAACTGAAGTCTTGCGTTTACGGTGAGGGGCGAGATGTCTCAGTGGTTAGAGCGCGAATCTACTTACCGTAGGTCCGTGGTATGCTAATTGTGGGAAATATATGTTTGGCCTAACACAAAGATTACTTTTATCAATAAAAAGCGTGGCAAGTGAAAGAAAACATGGATCTATTGCAACCAAACACAAAATGAAGAAATTGCTCGGTATAAACTGAAGTCTTGCGTTTACGGTGAGGGGCGAGATGTCTCAGTGGTTAGAGCGCGAATCTACTGACCGTAAGGTCCGTGGTTCGAACCCAAACTCTGCCTCTCGACTTCCCCAGTCTAGCCTTGGGCAACCTGGCAATATCCCAGCCTTCATGCTTCCTTCTAATGGCATGGCAGCTAGACACCGAAAGGTTGCTACAGTTGAACAACAACAACAGTTTGTGGTGGTTTATGGAGTGATGGGTATTCATCGGATTTATTTTGTTTAAAGCTCATCTGTCAGGTCAAGCTCCGAAATCAAGTCAGTTTCCTAATCTTAGTTGAAAATCACTTTAAACCCCCTCTGCTTCTACTTTAACGCCATTCTAATAGGCCCATAGGTTACATTCAAAGAAAACTCTAGTTTAATCACCAGAAGGCTTGCTCGCCGGAGAGGAATCTTGAAAAGTGGGGTTATACTAGCGGTCATGAAGCACGATACGCAATGAAAGAGAGAATCTTATGAACAGCTAGGTTCGTTTGTTTGCCTCGGATGACCTCGGAACCCTTCCCTTTGCTTACCAGTACAATTTTAGAATTAACCAATGAAAACACACACGACGTGAAACCAAATTGTTCATCACATGAAGGTTGTTCTTGATTGGCAGACCTAGATTAGTAAATAGAGAGATAGCTAAGCTGAAACAGTTGGCCTAATCGAATACTTTCTAATGCCTGACGTCCCGCAAGAATCAATTTGCGCAGGATAACACCTAGCCGTATTTGAATTGTGTCCGTAACTTTATTTACCAGCAACATAAGGCTGATAAATTAAGTGGAACAGCAAACTGTGTTTCTGCGAAGTTTTCCCATTTGGTGTACAGATGTAGATTTTTTTAGTGGGCGTTGTAACTCACGTTTATTTGTTTCTCGCAAAATGGAAACTGCACCTTATTGAGGAGCTTGTTATTACCGAATAAGTGTAACCCTTAACAATTAGCTGTCTCACAGCATTTCCCCGTGGATAACTTTAGATGACACATTTCAAGTTAAGGCCTACGTTCTGTATGGAGGTGAGGACGCATTTGGTGGATTTTGCCACTAAATTCACATCAGATCTTTGGGGATTGAAGAGCAGCGGCAACATTGGGGACAGTAGCTTTACTTGGATAACAGTGTGGAGAGTAACGTGGATCCTACCGGTTGTCTAACATCATCATCATTGTCAGCTGTAATACCCGCGTACTCGTCGTACAACGGTTGTAGCTGCCGCAGTTTCGTTCACCGATGATTTGGAGGGAGGGTAGATAGCTGCGCATTGCAGGCGGGAGCTGATAAATTGGTGCATAAATCCAGCACTGTCAGTGGGCTGTCAAGTGGGGGGGTTGGAAAAGGAGCTATGCATTGAAGGCAATAGCTTGGATGCTCGAGCGCCACTGAGGGCGCGACTGGGGCATATCTGACAATGTCTCTAGCCATTGATGTGGCCCGTCTCGGGGTCCCCATCCAGGAAGGCGGCAGTGACCAGCGCAGCTGAGTTTGCTGGTAATGGCTTTCATACTTCGCTGCCAAGTCATTGCTTCACCGCCTGTGGCTCTCTTCCACCCTTCACATGGTTGGGCGAAAAGAGCCCTTCGAGGAAGTCGGCCGACTGGCATACGCAGCACGTGGCCAAGCCAACGCAACCTGTGCAGTGTGATCAGTTCATCTATCGAGGGTGAGTTATTTCTCCCGAATACCATTCGACGTACTTCAGAATTACTGATCCGGTGTTCCCACCAGATTCGGGCAATGCTCCGAAGACACCGATGGTCTTTTGACGTCCTCGGCGCGCAGCGGCCACGTTTCTGATCCATACAGTAATATGGAGCGCACCGCAGCATTGTAAACTCGACCCTTGATAGAGAAGCTGATGTCACGCCTACGCCACAGGTGATGTAGGTTCGCAAAAGCTGCCCTGGCCTTCCCAATCCGGATGGTAATTTCATCGTTCGCCAGACCACCGTGACTGATACGGCTTCCCAGGTAAACAAATTTGTCTACTACCTCGCTGTCTAACATAGCCATAAAACTAAGCTCACCCCAAGGGAACAAACGTGGTGAATGATTTTATGAAGATTATATGGATTCTTTAAAATTTTTCCGGCACTAAGATCGTAGAACTAAGCAGTTGAGTGCGATGGAACTGGATTAGTTTGACCCCAACTTCACGAAGGCTGGCAAACTCAATGGGTGGCTTAATGCTACCCTATAATTTTAGCCAAAAGGGTAGCCTTTATCTCTAGGCAACATTTTTGTGACAAGCGCGAGTATGAAATTTACCAGAAATCCGAGGTTCAGTCAAATAGAAAGATCGAAACTGGTGACAGTCTCCTCAAAAGATTTCAGCAACTTTCCGAGTAGTACCATTTGGAGGAAAATAATTCGGTGTAATGAAAGTTATTTCAACCAAAACGGGAAACTGCTTGTAAAATGTCATAAGTGAGAGATCGAGTCGATACGCAGATTATCCCCTCATCAGCACCATCAAAATTGGCCAGTGAGTGTTTATTTGCAAAACAGTCGGGACATTTTTCAAAAATCACGGATAACCGGGATTACAAAAAACATACTACTGATGACGGTCCAGTAGGTGAACTGTTTTAATACCGGATAGTGTAGTGATATGGAGTCCTTAGTAAATTTTCTGTTACGGTCCAGCATCAATTACTTAAGGCTTTCAAGTTTTGACCGTCTTCGTTGAATAGTTTCATACCGCTTTTGTTTGGTTCTCCAGTATTTTTTCTCTTCGGCATCACCCGAAATGCTGAGTGCCAAATTTCTGTCACTGCTGCCAGGCTCGGGAACGAATAACACAAAATCCTGATCACGTACGGTTGTGCTGATTCACATTAAAACTGAAACAACTCACCAGAATTCCTAAATATGATACGCATTCCGAACGAAGGCCACCAAAAAAATAAATGTTCATCTGGCCGTATCTGGAGGCTAGTCCGTCTTCGGGTGAGCTACACTTACCAATCTTGCGGAAAGTGAATATTCCAACATCCGTCAATGATAGTGACACAATGAAACATTTGGGACGGTGCAGTAATATAGGCGCCTTTTTTACAGGACCGACATGCCCACTACTCCCACAAGAAGATCTGCCGTGTGGGCCACGAGATTCGCTTCCATAATAAGAGATTAATGAATAGTGCTCATTTGGAAAGAGGGTGTAGAACCAGCGAAGAATTAACTGTTTCTTGGAAGCGACCTCCCTCTAGAGCCAACAATCTGAGCCATTTTTTGAGGCATTTCTCTCCACCGCAAGTGTGATAAGAACTTGAGTTTGTCAGTTTTTTTATATCAATTGATCGGAAATAAAACCGGGTAGTTTCATTATGTTGAGACAGAAAGATTAATTGTGAGCATAAATGACCACACAGGGCCTTGAGTACACAAGTACCGTTTTTTCTTGAAATATGTAGACGAGTAATGGAACAAACGAATTGGAATATAAACGAAATTTCGAACAAACACGTGCATAATTTATATGGCATGATTGTCTCTCTGAAACTGTCATAGCGTTGGTTGAGCAACGTCTTATTACAACGGCCAGCGGCATTTCTACACTGAACGACACAAGTTGCAGAACATGGGCTTACAGAGCTACCAAAAAGGCAGATCAACCGGCCCGGAGAGTTCGAAGTCCGCATCAAACATATTTCTGATGATAGTCCATTTATAGAGGAAAATGTCGGTAGCTCAGGTAGCGTAGATGGTCGTTGGCTTGTTCGCTGAGCTGATCACAAACGTTTCATCACCAATCGAGGTGACATCATCAGTGCGTTATTGGGGAGCGTAGTTGTGCGTAGCGGTGAGTTAGTGGTTGTGCGTTGAGTAGCGTTACGTGTGTTAATATACGTGCTGGTAGCCGGGGATGACATTTGACCGCGATTAGTTGTGCGGTCGGGTGGCTCGACTGGTTGTTCTGTTATCTTGTGTCCTCATTTGCCGATGCTCCCGTGACCTTTGAGCTTGGCATCCCTCACAGTCGTAGTCTGGTCAATGTTGGAGTGATCTTTGTCCTTCCGAGTTCCATCTTGTGACCTTTATTGATTTGACTCCGAGGGGTTCCTTGTTTCTTTGTTTGTGACGCACAACCGCCAACCCACCGCTACGCACAACTACGCTCCCCAATAACGCACTGATGATGTCACCTCGATTGGTGATGAAACGTTTGTGATCAGCTCAGCGAACAAGCCAACGACCATCTACGCTACCTGAGCTACCGACATTTTCCTCTATAAATGGACTATCATCAGAAATATGTTTGATGCGGACTTCGAATCTCTTTGGATCCTTTAAAGTTGAAGGAACTTTTCTTTGTACAGCAAACTAGGACATGGTACCTTCATTCAACATGTAGCAACATGAAATGTGTCCCTCGTCCCTTCCATTACAACCGTTCCGCTTGTAATTGGTCACACGGAAGCCCTAATAAGAAACTTCTCTTAGTTGGTTCCTTCGGCCGATCCCTCAGCGGTAGGACAGAGTTTGCTGCCTGTAAGCCAGGTTCCTTGTATGGAATGAACCAGCCGTCGAATAGAAGCCCCTTCTTATAGAATGGAAGTTTCAGGATCAATGTGTCTTGGGGACAAATCATATTTTGGCACTAACAGCAACCACAAAAGCATCCTGCATTATCGTAGATATTTGAAAAGCATCGAGACAAAACGCAAGAAGTCTGCACACTAGTTTTGCTGGGAGAATTTCTCATGCCAAGAAGTGTCTAGAGTGAATTTTGTTTCACTATTATGAAACGGTACAAACCAGGCACAGACTGTTCTGGAAGGAGGAGCATGCCGTGGGAAACAGGTGCAATTTAATCGGTCATGGTAACATGCGGAACTTTCATCTTGGGCTTCCGGAAGTCCGGCGAACTTCTCACAACCCAGAGTTTTCCCGATGGGCCAGGTAAACCCTCAAGCGTGACTGCGATCCGCTTGCGACTCAAGTGCAGGTCTTTGGGTTTGATTAGATTGCATCGGTCATCAACTGAAGAAGCGACATGACATCAGTGCAGGAACAATTCAACAAAGAATATCTTCTAATGGCGGTGGTTTATGCTCCTAAGAAACATCCCGTCAGTATTCGGTCCCACCCGGCATACTTGCTGTGACATATGTTCATATGTTGGTAGGCGCATATTTGATAAAATTTACTGCTGTTCTACGGTTCAGACAGAAGACTAATGGTTCCACTATCCTGTTTGTTTGCATAATTCCATCCTGTATAGTCCGGGGGTTTTCCGTATAGTTTAATTTTTCTTCCAAGGTCATTTTTGAGGCGAAAATGCTTCCTCACCGCAGCTGCTCCTCGAGGAAACAAACACTTCAGAACTACACATTCTGATGTTTTCTGCCTTCGTTTCTACGCTGATGGAGTAACTTTAAAGGAAAGACCGCAGCCATATTGCCCTTTTTTATTTGCATAGCCGTGGAATTTTAAATCGTAAACAGCTGACGACGTCATTAGCACCACTTTCAATTTCCGATTTTGGAAACTACTCCTTTTGTTTGAGATGTGTTTCATTGTGACAGCCCTGTTTGAACATACTACAAAACCGAAGTCTGTACTGAACTTGGTTGAATTAGCTAATTCGACGATGTGATACACACTACAAATCGGGTACCCGATAGTCATATTTTTGGCATGAACAAACATTTTCATCATAAGACCACTTTATGGTTTTTCTGTCTGACTCCAGCTATGTGATTACCTAGCAAGTCAGATGATATATTCTTAGCGTGTTGATACACTAGCCTGTGTTTCACTCCCATTCAGGAAAAATTAATGAGCTCCAGAAAATCAACGTCGTGGCTATTTTTGCCACTTGACACCACTTTTTGACGGACTGTCTACAGCTAAGTGGATTTCTGATGATCACCTAAAATATGTCGGAGTTGACCCATGTTCGTCATCCTTCTCAAGATAACGCAACTCTTTTGAGGAGATGATATGGCATCTTCGGAAGGTTTGGAAAGGCCTTGGATATTTCGCTTAGTTTATTTACTGTGGCATTTTACTGCTAAAATTCCTTTTAGTCTGTATGTAGTTGCCTATCAATCTGCCTATCAATTTGAGCATCTTCTTGACGGTTTGTTACTCTTGATGTGAACCAGACAGAGTACAAAAGTAGTATTGATTTTTCAGACACGAATGAGGACTCAGGAACTGCTCGTGTTGATAGTCACAGCTTAAGTGCACACTTTATACTCTACAAACCAGCTAAGTCGTGTGTTGCTACTATCATTTACACTTCAGTGGTATCTTG